CCCCCCCCCCGGACAAAGGCGGCTGTTATTTCGTCCTGTCATGATCGGGGCCGCTTAACGGGGCTCCTCTTTGCCCGCGCCCCCTCGAGCCCTGCGGTAGGGAGAGGGAGGTTGGGTCTTCTGCAGGGCTTTGGAGGTACGGCAGGGCCTTCGCTCCTGGCCCCGCAGGTGAAGTCCACCCTGGTAAATAAACTTAAATTAAATATCTCCTGGTAAAATTTCTGGTTTTGTATCTCAGTTTGCCGTCGCGTCGCCACGCTGACGCCTGCGGAGCGAGATGAGCAGGGACCTCAGAGGCAGGGGAGGCGCCCGGGGAAGAGGCTTTCAGGGGTCGCGAGTAGGATGGCGAGGCAGAGGACAGAAGAGCGAGTGGAGGAGAATGCCCGAACCTGGTGAGCCAGCTGCTGTGCTTCTACCTATTTTCTGAAGCCATAATGCTTTTCTTTGGACCTCCTTTTGCACTGTTTGCCTCCCCGTGGTCAAAAGAATCACCGAGAATAAAACTTGCAAAGTTTTAGTATCCATTTTGTTTTAATCCCCTTTTTAATTTTTTTTTTCCCCCAGTAAGATCTCGACTAGTTCAATCAACGTTGGACCAATTTATTCCCTATAAGGGCTGGAAACTTTATTTCTCTGAAGGTATTTTTAGAGCAAAATTATACATAGCAAGAATATTATTCCATTTTGTCTAGAACTGGTTATAAGCACAGGAGATATGTTCATTAGAAAGCAATGGAAATTCACATTTGTTTTATAAAAACATGAATACAATAGAGATTTCAATCTTATGGCCTACTATAATCTCCATGGGCTCCAAAGCAATCTTGAATAGTGTTAAGTATGGTCTTTCTTAAACCCGTTCAGTTACACAAAACCTGCAGTCTGTCAAAGACTGGAACGTACATCCCCTTGCTGTACTTTTCTTGATCTGATGTCATCCTAAAGTTCTGTTTTGTAACAGGTGTTATACTAGAACATTGCTGTGATGCTGTAGAGATCTATCACCTTCCTCAGTTTGAAATATAGAAAAATAATGGAAGAGAAATTGCCTGTTTACGTATTTTGTGAAATGGAAATTTCTGTCAGTTACTAACATGGCCTGTTTCTAACTAGCTTACGCTGACAGGTCTCCTTTCGTCCAGAAGACTCAGGCCTTTGAAAAGTTTTTCATGCAACGCATTGAGCTTTATGATAAGGTAAAAACAAATCAAAACATATCCCACCCCAACAACTGGTTGTTGATATCATAACATTATGAATGTTGTGTGTATTTTCTCCATCAAAAATAATCTCCATCATAGGTATGAAATGTTTATGACATGATTTGGATGTGTTTATAATTTGAAGCGTATTTTATAACTTAAAATGTTTTGCAGGATGAAATAGAAAGAAAAGGAAGTATTCTTGTGGATTATAAGGAATTAATACAAGACAGAGAATTGACTAAATCAATACCAAATATATCTGCTGAATTAAGGGACATGCCTCAGAAAATACTGCAGTGTATGGGTCTGGCAATTCATCAGGTAAGTATGACGTTCTAGTACATAGAAGCATAACCCTCACAATGAATAAGAATCCGTGGCACTTAGAGGCAATTACGTTATAAACAATAAACCACAAACCTTTACGTTCTTCTTTCTTACAGGAAATTACTGTTTGTTTGAAACTCAAACTCTTCCATCTCTCCACCATTACCCGTATGGCCCACAAAATCACATTTTGAAAATGCTTTGGTCTTGGAGCATTTTGCTTATTCGTTGTCAAAGCAGTTGACTAAAAATAAGTGTAGTTCTAACACTTATGTTACTCCCTATTGGGAGTTCTAATCCTAGTTTGACTTTTTTTTTTTTTTGAAATACACTGTGAATTACCTGTGCTGTGTGCTCCACCTTGCACAGCAGAACTGTGGCTGGTGGGTGAATGGTGAGCAGATTCATGAATTCCTGGCTCTGTTCAATGTCTCTTAAAGTGGCATTTCACTGCTTGTTGACAGAAGTTCTCAGGTGTTTGTGCTTTAGTCAAATGAAATTCCACGCATTGACCGCAGCATTAAAGACTCTTGCATCCTTTTTTTTGAATTAAAAAAACCCAAACACGACAAATATGTTGATTTTAAATTCCATTTAAAATTAAGCTTAAAAGTGCTCAGAAGCAGACACGCTGTTTAGTGCGGGGTCACTGGACAGCAGAGAGCTCTTTGGACTCCAATAGGGGGAGCCGATTGTAAGAGATGGTGATCAAACTTAATAGCAAATTGCACCTGTGTTGCTGCATTGGTGTCTCTTTTTTTCTGTCTAGGTGCTAACGAAGGACCTTGAAAGGCATGCTGCAGAGCTGCAGGTGCAGGAAGGATTACCGCTTGATGGAGACCCTGTAATAAATGTGCCTCTCATTCATGCTCGGTAATGGGGGTTGAGTATTTAGGTTGTTTTCTAGGAAGATCTGTTTGCTTCTTGTCTAATGGCTGTTGGTGTCCATGCGTGGTGCTGAAGGCTTACGTATTTTATGGAGGGACTTGAATCTGTGAAGCTATTTCCAGAAGAACAGTCCATGTTTTGCTTTTTTTCTTCACCGTGACAAAAGCTAAAGTGTCCTTGTAAAGAAAAAAGTGAAATGAAACCTACTAATAAGCTTATAAGTAGAGAAGTAACTTACAAGTGGAACAGTTATTCTATGTATTGATTTAAACCAGAACTCTTTAAAGTTCTGCTGTTCACTGGAGAAGTTAAGAAGTTATTATGGTCTAGCTTTTTGTTAGCAAAAGGCTCATCTTTGTAAGAAGGCTGATTTGGAGGATGTGGGCATAAACTACAGCTAGTGATATTTATTATTCCTTAGAGGGATGCTTTGACAGTGGTGTATGGTGATGTGTTATTTCATATCAGCTTAAATCTATGAAGTGCTTACTGGCAGACAGTCTGATGAATATTAATCCTAATTAATCAAATGTTAATTTGAAATTAAGAAGATGAGCTTCCACTAATTCTGAGTAAGCATGTACCCACAAGAATCATAATTACTGTTACAATTTTAAAAATGTCATTTCCTTTGAGTTCTTAATTAAACAAGTTCTTAGCACAATTTTTGTTGTTCTTTATCAGAAATAATGGCATATCAGACTTCAGCGATCTGAGGGGGACTGGGAGTAGAAACCCTGTTCGAGTTTAAATTACTTTTTTTTTTTTTTTTTAAAATTCTCTGCTGGTGATGGCTTGGTGTGGGAAAGTAGCATGCTTTGGCATGGCAGGTGGATTTAGTTTGGGGGTTTATCATGCTACAATATATTTTTAAATTTTTTGTTATAAAACTGCGAGCTGTTACACAGTAGAATGTGTTTAGGAAAAACCTGTGGCCAAAAAAAGTTCTATACAAGCTCTCAAATTCTAAGAGGTGGTTATGGACCGTGGTCCTGTAGAGGAAAGTATTCAATAAGTCAATAAAATATCATGGTCCTAAAATGGTTCTGCAGCATAGGCAGGGTTGAACCATGACTTGATGGTGGTCAGGGTGCTAAGCGGAGGGAGCGGGGAAACCTGGATTTCTGGAGCCAGACTCTTCTCATCGGTGCCCAGTGACAGGACAACGGACAGTGGGTACAAATTAAACCACTGATAATTCCATGTGAACACAACAAAACACTGTTTTACTATGAGAGAGGTTATGTAGTCTCTATCCATGAAGATATTCAAAACTCAACGGGACGTGTACCTGGGCAACCTGCTCTAGCTTGAGCAGGGAGGTTGGACTAGGCAATCTCACGAGGTCCATTCCATGATAAATGATTCTGTTCAAAGGTGGTTATTTTGAATTCTTTGGCTAGGTGTTCTTTATCCTTAACAAGGTGCAGCGTGGTGTACCTGATGACAGGTTCTTGTGTCCTTCATTTTGGAGCACAGGCATAATAAATCTTTAATCCTTTTGCGTCGCAAGTCTAAACTCTGGTCTTAACCATCTCTTTGAATTATATTTTTCTATATTTTTAATATATTCTTTTTTGTTCTGCATTTAAGTACTGTAAACTTTCAAATAGTTAATGCTTAACTTTTCTGTAGGCTGTACAACTATGATCCGCTAACTCAGCTGAAAAATGTTCGGGCCAACTGCTACGGAAAATATATTGCTTTGCGTGGTACTGTGGTGCGCGTCAGTAACATTAAGCCTCTGTGCACTAAGCTAGCTTTTGTATGTGGCACGTGTGGGGATGTTCAGAGCGTTCCTCTACCTGATGGAAAGTATACTCTTCCAACTAAGGTAAGGCAACACGATCTAACTTCATAATTTTCCCTGATCTGTACTGATTTAACAAAAAGTGGCACCACTGGTATTAAAATAAATAAATTAATTAAGCTTACTACACTGCTTTGTATTACTGCATGTCCTTGTTATTTGAAAGAATTGTACCCTGCTGAAACAAAAGCAGTGTGTAGAAACTCTCAAATCTAGAGAAAAAAAAAAAAAAACAGACGAACTCTTTTAATTCCATTTCACTGGTTATGTTTAAAAAGCCTCCTCCACCTGGCTGTGGCGGTGTTCTGTGCTTAGATTAGGGTTTTTGGTGGGTTTTGTTTGGAGCTTTCTATTCTAATTTCACTGGGGTTTTTTTAATCTGGATTTGACAAGTCATTAGACATAGGACAGTGTCTGGTTATTTTATGTTACCTGATGTGCTCAAGTGACAAAAATTATCTCCTGTGAAACATCTGTAAGTATTTAAAAAACAAAACCAAAAAACCCCCAACCCACCAACCCAAAAACCCACTCACCATCTCCTCAACACCCAAAACCTAAAACCCGTTCACCAAGGGGATCATGCAATTCAGCTGTATTTGCTCTAACAACTATGAGTCAGGGTTCAGGTGTCTGTGCTTGATAGCTCTTCATTAATGATGCGTGTGCTCACTTGTAGCCCTAATTTAACTAGCATTTTTCCTGAAATGGTGTTAATGAATCGCTTTGCTTTTTTAATCAAGGCAACTTCCAATTATGATTTTTTTTTAGAAAAGGTTGAGAATTAATTAGAATTACTAGAATTAAGTAGAATTACTATTGTTACAGTGCCTGATGCCCGAGTGCCGTGGCCGATCCTTCACAGCTGACAGAAGCTCTCCTTTAACCACTACAGTGGACTGGCAGTCTGTTAAGTAAGCATGTCTTCCCTTCTGCACAAAAATGTAATGCAATGCGGTAGTCAAAAAGTGACAGGGTGGCTCATTCTGTGTTCCACTGTGTAATTTTAATAATCTTCTTTTGCTGCAAGCGGTCTTCAAAACTTGTCTTGCAAAGCGGTTGTTTTAGCCGAGCACTAATATACTCTGTATATTGAATCTACCCAATGTAATAGCTCCTTGGAAATTCCTCCTGCCATGACTGAGTGAGAAATGTTCCATTTGTGTTCTTTGCAGCTTTTCCTCATCACTTCTAATTGTGTCTCTTATTTAACGATTCCTTTTAGTGAGCTGTAAGTCAGCTAGAAAGGTCCAATTAAATTACGTTAGTCAGCTGTGACCATTGACTTGAATAAACTGCAAGTAAATTTGAGGGTTAAAAATCTTAGTTTGAAGTGATACCGTGTCTCCCAGTCCTCGGAGTACGCTCAGTAGACAGAAATAGTGCTGCACCTGCCCATACATCTACTTTCTAAGTCTAATCAGCAAGTAGGTGTGCCTAAAATTTGAGACACCTTTGCTGTGGGCGAACAAGTCTCTGTTTCTACAGAAATTAACAATGATGAGGTGTAGGAAGGTGGAGAGTGGATCTGGTTTTCATTGCTGCCATCTTACTGTGCACTATTGGCACTATGACCATTGTACTGTTGCCCCGTAACATACGTCAGGAGAGTTTGGTGTGGTGTTTTGTGTCCGTCCTGTTAGCTTACTGTAATAAGGGTGTCGGCTTGGAAAAAATAGGACTCTGCTTGCTTTTTCCCACTTCTTACATCCAGATTCTGTAAGTTCACATGCTTCATATCGAAAGTCTTATTGTGCCAAATGACATCTGGATGTGCTTTGCTTTATTAATGTTCTGTATTAAAAGTAATTTTAAAATTCATTAAAAAAACCCCAACAGTGCAGACATTCTTGTCAGCAGCTCTAGAGGGTGCTGTTTAGTGCAGCTGCTTAAGAAAAGCTTGAATCTCAGCTTCAGGGAAAACTATCAGAGCTCAGAGTGCAGAGCCAAAACTGGAACCTTTTAAAGAACTTTTTAGCTGCTAGCTTTTTACAGCTATACAAAGTGAGCTACCGTCCTTGTTATGGTCTGAGGAATTTCTTGGTATTTGCTAGGGTTAAAATGCCGATTAAGCATTCATCAGGGCTATAACGTCTGACCTCTTCATTTTTGTCTGAGGTCCATCTTATTTCATGTACTGTACTTATTTCTACATGAACATTTTCATCAGTGCCGGAAAAATCTGAATTTCAACTTGGATTATTATTTCTGGAGTTCACAGTTAGTGTCTTTCTGCGTTTTATGCATAATGTATACCAACGTATTAAAATCTGAACTGAAAAAAATCTGTTTCTCCAAATTCAGCACTGCTGTTTCTAGAGTTTATCAGGGCATTTCTCCTGTCTGCCTTTTCAATTTTGAAAGGATTGGTTGGAAGCACACAGCTGCAGATCTCATATGCCATAATGGAACTGAATCAGAAATGTCATGCATGGAGCATGCACTTACCTCGTGTTTTTGCAGGGTGCAAGAGCTCATATCAGATGATCAGCGAGAAGCAGGCCGAATCCCTCGCACAATCGAATGTGAACTGGTTCAGGATCTTGTGGACAGCTGTGTTCCAGGAGATATAGTCACAATTACAGGGATAGTAAAGGTGTCGAGCACTGAAGAAGGTAAAACACATCATCTGAGAACACCACCTCCCTTGGGAGGGGATTTTTCTAGTGATTACACAAGAAGAACAAAAGCCATCCCCTTTAATGTGAGCTCTCAAAGTTGTAAAAGCATTAAGTGGCTATTTCTTCAGAAGTCCCCAAAGTTTTATGATGAGGAGTTATTTGGAAAAAGCCAGAAGCAGGGCCGTCCAAGAGGAGCACTGCCTCCAATGTCTGCTGATAGAGAGGGGGTTTTGCAGCCCACTGGTCTATACACAACTGTGGTCCTGAATATTTTTTCCTTCCTCTCCTTCTTTTCTTTTTGAAAATTCTTCAGTTACTTAAATATGAACATTTTGCACATGGCTGTATTTAATATTTCAGAATTACTCTGTGCCATTTGTAAATAACGTCAGTACTTAACAATAGAAAAAATATTCCTTCATCCTTTCTCATTTTTCTAACAGGAGCTTCCAAAAATAAGAATGACAAGTGTATGTTCTTGTTGTACATTGAGGCAAATTCTGTCAGCAACAGTAAAGGACAAAAACCAAAAAATTTTGATGATGAGACTTTTCAAAGATCGTTCATGGAGTTTTCACTTAAAGACCTCTACGCTGTTCAAGAAATTCAAGCTGAGGAAAATCTGTTCAGGCTCATCGTGAAGTAAGTTGCATCAGACCTAGACTAGGTCTAGGATTAGACTTCTGAATCAGCATGACTAACTTCAGACAGACGTGACAGCTAATCTTAAAGCTATGAAATGTCTAAGGCTTGTGCAATAGATACCACAGAGATTTAACAAACTTTAGTGGGCAAGGGCTTGCGAGGAAGCCCAAGTTTTGCAGTGGGGAATGTTAGGACTTTGGGAGGGATTTAAGGCTACAAGGAAGTTAGGAGTGGTTTCATTCAACCCTGAGACCGAAAGCTACAGGTAAAGCAATTAATTAACTTTGCTCCTCACTGAGTAAATTCAGTTCACGAGTGCTGTTTTTGTTCTGTGCTCTGCTTTCTACAGCAGAGGAATGAGGCACAAGAACTGAGCAGAGGGTGTGCAACAGAGAAGTACTCTTCTAGCTGGGGCGTCCCTCAGGCCCTCCCAGAGGAGTTAAAATCCACAAAACTAGCAGGCCTATGGTAGTTACTTGATTACGATAAGAACGGGTGCAGAAATCACAGGCAAACTGTTTCTCCTCTGTTTGGGTGAACTCGGATGAAATGCTTTTCTTATTTCAAGCGTATCTGAAAATTCAAGAAACTTGATGCTACTGATTTAAACTCATGCTGTTGGAAATTCAGCAAGAGCTAACCGGAAGTTTTATACATTCATAGAAGTATTCTGTGACAAGAGAGACAGAGCAAGTGATTACTTAAGTCATACAAGATTTATATTCCCCTTAACGTTAGCGCTCTTTGTTTTTCAGCTCTCTTTGTCCTGCAATCTATGGCCATGAGGTAAGTAATTTAACAGCTCAGCTTGCAGCTTCAGTTTGAAATGTTTATACCAAAGTAAACTCCTAAAGGATTTCTAAAGCTTATCTGGGGGTGAGGGGAGGGGCAGGGACTGTATTTACAGATGACTGTGACTCATGGTCGCTTTCAGTGACAAGGAGGTGACTCCTAAAGGATTTCTAAAGCTTATCTGGGGGCGAGGGGAGGGGCAGGGACTGTATTTACAGGTGACTGTGACTCATGGTTGCTTTCAGTGACAAGGAGGTGGCAGCCTTATATCCTTAAGCTCAGCCATCCAGAAGGAAAGGGTTATTACAGCGGGTTCTAAGGACCTGTCAGTATTAGTCATTGTGATCAAATACTTGTAAGTGTTGGTATGTACCGTTACAGATTGTAAAGGCAGGTTTGGCCCTGGCGTTATTTGGAGGATGTCAGAAGTTTGTAGATGACAAGGACAGAATCCCGGTGCGAGGAGATCCACATGTTCTGGTCGTTGGAGATCCAGGATTAGGAAAAAGTCAAATGTTGCAAGTACGGGTTGACGTATTTCTATTGTCCGATTGTGTATTTTTCTCTAATTCCTTGTTGTCTTGACCTCTTGTGAGCATGGTAGGATAGCTGTGCTGAAACCAAAGGGTTGCCTGAGCCTGGCTGGAGCTATCTTTTCACACAGGGTGCCTCAAGTATAGGATAGTACCCAAAAGGGTCCCCTCCTGTCCTCTCCTTCCAGGGAGCCTTGCAGAAGGGGTCAGGCCTGTTAAAACACTTACCAAAGCAGGTATACTTTGGTCAAGCCTGTGGGCTTTCGAGTCTAGGCTTGGTGTCCTGCCCTTATATACTTGGTGGTTTTTTTACCAACCTTTTTCCCTGGTGAGAAGTTTCACTCCTTCCTATTTTCATTTAGCTGATCCATTGTCAAAGAAAGTAAGTACGCTCTTGGCACTAATGCAGCTTTACATACTGTCACTCTTGCCTTCTGTGAGCTTTACTTCCGTTCTCTTCCCCTATTTCTACGTTGCTAGCACAGATCTCAGCTTTTTTGGGAAAGGGACCTGCTGCTGCATTTGGGTTTTAATGTTGGTGGGCATTTCTGCATGACTGTGACAAAATCAGTTAGTAATAGAATTTTTTCATCTTCAACAGAATGGTATTAAAGTTCTGTGTCTTTTCCCATAGTTACTGTGAAGTGACAGAGGGACAGAGTTCACCTAGACCTGCAGTGTTGCATACCTTGTTTAAAAAGGCTGAGTCTTTCTGATGTGGCCATGTTAGGCTATGACTTGCAATAACTTACCCAAAGGGAGGGATTTGTACGTAAGCATCTTGGCAAACCAATTGTTAAATGATTTTTTTTTCACTGAATGGAGACTCTTTAGCATACAGTAGATGATTTGATTTTTCATATTGTTCCTAAATGACAGGATGCCATTCCAGAAAAGCTACTAATCTGTTCCTCAGATAAAACCCTGAGACAAGGCTCCTGTCAGTCATCACTGTCACAGGAAAAAAAAAATCCAAAGGAGGAAACCAAAGCTGTGTAGGAGCCAGGATTTTTTTTGTTTGTTAGGGTTTTTTCTTCAGTGCTCAGTGCCTGTCACATACCTGGTACTGAACAACTGTGCTTTGGGAAGTACATAAAAATAAGCTTTTTGGTTTTATTTATCTTTTAAATTAAACAGAGGCACCAGTAACCATAGAGATTTACTGGGAAAATCCAGTTATCACTGTATTCTAGACAAACTTAACTGCAATGTGTCTGTGTTCAGGCTTGCCACGCTTTGCTTTTCTAGTTGATATTTCAAATTGTGGGCTGCTTTCTGGATGGAGAAGACTATGACTGCCCTTTATCCCCTAGTTGTGGGGAGAACTGTGCATGCTTCCTCTGGTGCAGCATGTGTTGGACACTAGGATGAGATACTAGTCTATACAGACCTTGGGGTCTGCAAGTACAGCAACTATGTATCTGCAATTCTGTGACAGATGGCATGTCCCCAAGCATTTCAACATACTTTGCCACGCAAGCGCTGTGCCCAAGGCCCTCATTGATCTGATAGTGCAGTGCACGTGGCTGTGCCACAGCTGTTGTGACCAGAGCTATTCCCACCGTTTTGCAGAAGTATGGCTCTTGGGGTTGCAAGGAGTTGTAATTTTACTGTTGGGCCACATGAAGTAGAAAGAAATAAATTTGGGTGTACTTTGAATTGTTTCTCTAGAATAAGGCTGATGAAATTCTGAACCTTGGGGAGGGAAAAAGTATTTATTTCTCTTCTAGGCAGTGTGTAACATTGCTCCTCGAGGTGTGTATGTTTGTGGTAATACTTCCACCAGCTCTGGCCTGACTGTCACACTGTCTAGAGATGGTGCTTCTGGAGATTTTGCCTTGGAAGCTGGTGCTTTAGTGCTTGGAGATCAAGGTAATCTATGTAACACTACAGGTTTCATATGACCGTATGTGGGGGGCGGGGGTGTATGTGTGCTGCTGAGTCAAAGATTAACTACAGTGCTTGCATAACTGTGGACTAAAAATGCATATTTGAAGTACAATGTTTGCTTTCCACACCTTGGGAAGTTCTGAGCTTCTCTCGTGACTTCTCTGGAGGTGGTAACTGCATTCCTAGGGCTTAGGATGTGCATGGAACTGGAGTTCTGCAAATCACGGGTCAGCCTTAATATGTCAAAGAACCTGGATTTCCTTGTTAAGAAATCTCTGACTTAACGGCAGCTGCTGGACTCCTACTGGTTTTGAAAAACAGCTGGCTTATGAGATTTGTCATCTATTTCTATCTTTAAAAAGCTTGTTTTGTCATCTGAATGTATTATCGACACACTGCTTCCACAAGCCAGGCCAACTTCGTAATGGTTCAGCTGCAGTGCCATAAAATGAAAACAAATCTTGCTGAAATGCAGACTTGGTCCGATGTCTCCTGCAGTCCCTAGGACTCTAGGTTGGACTTCTGATGTAGCACTGGATCATAGCACACACTTGTCCATCAGTTAATGTGTTTTGTAATGAGTCTTTGTCCCATGTTAATTGCTTCCAGGAATTTGTGGAATAGATGAATTTGATAAGATGGGAAACCAGCACCAGGCTTTGTTGGAAGCCATGGAACAGCAAAGCATCAGCCTTGCCAAGGCTGGCATTGTTTGCAGTTTGCCAGCTCGGACGTCTATTGTTGCTGCAGCAAACCCAGTTGGAGGACATTATAACAAAGCCAAAACGGTGTCTGAGAACTTAAAGTGAGCACTTTCTGAAATGCTGCTTATGTCATTCATGTTTGGGAGCAGATGCTTCTGGCAGTCTTGTAGCTTGTATGTAATTGCTTCCTGGTTGCCTGGAGCTTGAACACAAATTATAATAATTTTTCCTGGCTTTTGAGAGAGAAATTGCTGTTCTACTTGATTCTGAATGAATGGGACAGGATTTTTTTAAGTGTCTTGAATTGGAGTGGAGTTGCTGTAAGTTTTCTACTTTACGATCACTGTGTGGTTTTCTTGTCTCTTCTCTAGAATGGGGAGTGCTTTACTGTCGAGATTTGATCTAGTTTTCATTTTGCTGGACACCCCAAATGAAGATCACGATCACTTGCTGTCTGAGCATGTGATGGCGATCCGAGCTGGAAAGCAGGCAGCATGCAGTAGCGCTGTTGTGACTCGTACCAACACGCAGGATCGCTCTGTTCTTGAAGCTGTTTTGGATCGACCGCTGCTGGAAAGACTAAAGGTAGGACTTGTCCTGTGACTTGCTATGCCCCTTCCTGCGGTGTTCCTTGCCTTGGCATCTGGCAGCCCTGACCTGCTGGATGTCCTCATTCTTCTCACGATAATCGGCTCTGAATTAAAGAGGAAGCATTTAAGGCTCCAGCACCAGTTTCTACGGATTGTTTATTGTCACTAACATTACCCGCCCTGCTGGAGCTGCTAAAGTTGTGTCTCAAGCCATCTTCACCTCCACACACAAGCGAATTTATTAGCTGAACTTTTTATTTTTGGTTGCAGTAGCAAGAAGACGCTTTGCGTGAGATGCTCTAAAGCAAATTCACTGTGTTAGATTCAATAGAGCGCTACAGAACTAGACTGGGTATAATAATTTGATATAACATGATGTGCTGTGAAGTGTCGAATCCAAATAAAGCAGTTTTGTAAACAAAACTGTAGCAGAATTGTGAACAAATCCTTGGCCATCTGCAACGCATGATGGATTTGGGGATTAAACTTAAGTTTGAGGGCTGATATTGCCAAATGCCAGGTCTTGGGAGAAATATCCCCTACTGGGCTAAACCTGTGCACTTCTGGAAATGGAGTATCAGCAGTGATGGTTTAATCTTCTGTGAAGCTGTGTCTTATAACAATTGGGAAATCAGATTTTCTCTTTTTGAGAAAGACTTCTTGATACAGGCACTTTGGCAAATGAGAAGCTTCAGCTGCTTTTTCTGAAATGGCCAAGTGTGTTTAATTACATGTCTAAGCATAGTTGTATGGGCTTTTTAACTACACAGTTCATACATGAAGCACTAAAGCCCTTACGGTGAAGATTTCACCGGATAAAGCATAGGAGATGAAGGTTTTATGTTGAAATTTGTATTGTATGGGGTTCTGAGACAGAAATCTAAGCTCTTTGTAATTGGGTTAGATCTTGCCAGGAGAAAACTTTGATGCCATTCCACATCAGCTGCTGAGAAAGTACGTTGGATACGCTCGGCAGTATGTTCACCCAAATTTATCTCCAGAAGCTGCTCAGGTCCTCCAGGAATTCTTCCTTGAGCTCCGGAAACAGAACCAAGGAGCAGGGAGCACACCGATCACCACGAGGCAGCTAGAGTCACTGATTCGACTTACGGAGGTAAATGCAAGCTGTAATACTCAAGGGATTGAAAGCAAAGAGACTATTCCTAAACTACTACTGATATCCTGTGATTTTTGACAGTTTATTCACTCCTATGCTTTTCTGTTTCAAAAAAAAAAAAAAGTAAGAATGCCAGAGACTACAAATGCTTAAGAGCTACTGTTGCTTAGAGCCTGTTATAAGAAAAACACCCTTGAGGGGGTGGAAAGAGAATCTACCACGTTTCTCAAAGGAGGAAAAGTAGGTGTAGGCAGGAACAAGCTGCTGTCCATCTTTGAACTTGAGCTGCTGCTGTTGTCCCTAACACTATGCCTTAATAACGCTATTTGTGATCTGCTGCTTCCCAATACACTGTTAAAAAGCAAACAAACTCCAAGGTACAGCCCAGTAATGGGAGTATGCAGGAGATGACATTGGAACTACTGAAAAAATAAGAGGAATCCTCTGCTAAATCCTGTAGACTCAGGTCCCATCTCTGCTCCTAAAATTTGTGCTTGTTGTAGAGTGATTGTAGCCTTTTTTTCACATCAGCTGCAATATATCTTAAATATACCTTTGTGGGTTTATTTTGTTTTAAGGCACGATCAAGGCTGGAATTAAGGGAGAAATCTACCAAGGAAGATGCTGAGGATGTAATAGAAATCATGAAATATAGGTAATACACACTGCTTTAAAAATAAATAAAGCATCAGTCCTATTAACTCAAAACTCTTATTTTTTGAAATTTATTTTTTTTTAAATACAGATGTTCTCACTAGGGGGTGGTTTCCCATGCAGCTTCTAACAGCTTTCTCAAGCACTTATGTTTCAGGAAGCAAATTCAGGTACTCTTGCTTTTACCTGCTGTTGATCTTTTCTTTTTAATCTGTTTTTAGTATGCTGGGAACCTACTCTGATGAGTTTGGAAAACTGGACTTCGAACGTTCACAGCACGGGTCCGGGATGAGCAATCGGTCACAAGCAAAAAGATTTGTTTCTGCCCTTAACAGTATTGCGGAGAGAACTTACAACAACCTCTTTGACATGCAACAGCTTCGACAGATCGCGAAGGAGCTACAAATAAAAGTAAGTTTGGAAACCAAGCATTTCTTCAACAACAAACTGCAAGACCAGTCAAAATTATTTATTGCAAAATGGAAAGTGGAAGAGGCATATCTGTTGTAAAATTTATACATATGTAACTCCACGTGCTTTCTGCGTGTCATAGAGCGGAGAGCACTTGTTCTGTGCAACACCACAGTAAAACCAGTAAAGCACAAAGGGGTGCAACTGACAATGCCACCTCCTCGAAGATCAGGAGTTTGCTAAGGAAACTAACCTATTCTTGGCTCCCTTTATTTCACCAAGTTCTTTTAAACTGTTTGTGTTGCCTTATATCAGATAGAAAGTCATTCTTCCAATCTGATACTTAGTTTTGTCTGTCTTGTCTTTTGCCAGGTATCTGATTTTGAAAGCTTTATTGGATCCCTAAATGATCAGGGTTATCTTTTGAAAAAAGGTTCAAGAGTTTATCAGCTTCAGACCATGTGAAGATAGAGCCACTGTGATAAACTTTCTCGAGACTGAATCATTCACCTCTGGGATGGGCTGAGGGACCTGCAGCAATGAAGCATGCCAAACTGTGGCCTGACACAGCAGTCGGTGCTTACGGAGGTGTGAGACTCCTTTTCAGGAACCAGCAGCGCCTGTGGGCTCACTTCGAGCTGCCATAGGATAAACTGACCCGTGGTATTGCTGCTTGATTCATCCTGTAGGTCTGCTAGCCCAAACCTGCTAGCATTACCCCTCCATAAGGCTAGCGTGTACCTCCTCATCCTTGAGGAGTGGGAAGCGGATTTTATATCGACCTATCGCAGTGCCATAACAGACTTTTTTACTTCTAAACTTCGTGACGTTGGACCCACAAATTTGCATGGAAGATTTCTGGTTTTAAAGATGAGCAGTTGTGGGTTTTAGCACTGTAGTTCATTTGAGGAATTTAAAGTATAGGAATGTTTCCAAAAAGTTGGGAACCCTCAGGTGGAGACAACAGTTCGGTAGGTGTGAGAAGTGATGCCTTATGGAAACTGCCTTAATTTCCTGCTTTGCAGCTCTGTATTTATCAGCCTCTGTCATGGAGATTTTATTTGAAATACCAGTCTGATTTAAGCAAATATCCTTATTACAATATTTAATTTGTAAAGCAGGAATTGGAATTTATTTACGTCTTTCATTAAACTTTACATATGAGAACTCTGTGATTTGTTAAAGAGCCTTACACAGCACCAGTGAACACTGGTGTGGGTGTCAATGGCCGCTACAAGATACGTGGCACAGACACGCAGTGTGTGTTTCTGTGTAACTCTGTTCCAGCCACAAAAGGAGGTGTGTCCTGCAAGAGTAAAGTGCTGAATGTTTCCTGACTTTTATGAAGTCAGAATCATGGTCTAGTTAAATAAAAAGGCAGCTGAGAAGCTTTCAGGGGTAAGTATTAAAAAGCAAACCAACAACGTGGGTTTTTTGGAGCTTTTAAAACATTGAAGAATGCATTGCCGATACTTCTGCTTTCCCTTTTTTATTTCCAAGGTAAGATTTGATACCTAAGTTGTAAGACAAAGTAAGCTTCATTATTTCTGCTCTTTTTATTAAGTGACATAAGTATCTCAGCTACAGCATGATTCTGCAGCAGTTTTGTATGAAAACAGGAGCTTTACGGAGTTGAAAGACCACATGCTGCCTCAGTGTGCACCTACTTCAGCATACTTGCAACTGAAAACTGGTTTGACAAGTGAGATACTTAAAACTACTTCGTTTGCTCTTATAGCTCTACCTATGTTTGCTTGTTACAGTAACTGTGGTTAACAGCTCTTCTAAAGTCTCTTAGTGTTAGGGGAGGAGGGTAGGAGAAGCAAATAAACGATCGCACCTGGAAAAGTAAACTCTTCCTCCTCCTCCTCCTTGAGCTGAAGTAAAGGTGGGGGAGTGAGGGCATGGAGCCAAGGACGAAGAACAAGAGCCTACTCGGCTCCTCTGAGAAGTCACTTAGGCTAAAGCAAACTTCGCCTTCCCTTGTTAAGGGCCTGTAAGAGAAAGCGCGGCCCCAAAAAGCCGCCCCGCCGTGAGCAGGAGCGGGCTGAGCCATGCCGCCATGGACGCCACCCT